TTGCCCCCCCGAAAAACCCGGGGTCCTGTGGCAGGGAGTCACTTATGGCCATGGGACGATGCCCAAAATGCATCCCCAGGTGATGGGAGCACCCCTGGGACAGGGACAGCCCCCAGCCTGCATCTCCTCAAAGACTCAAAGCGGCGCTGTTGTTGTTTTGAAGGCCAACTTTTGCTCACACATTGGAATTAGTTTTTCTTCCAAAAAACTTAAAAATATCTCAGATTTCTGACACTGGCTTCCAAGGAGCCTGGCTTCCAAGGAACCGAGCCCAGGGCCAGGGCTCTATCCCATCAAGGGACAGAAGCCTCCCTGCTCCCATGCTCCTTGGCCACAAGGGGACAGAGCTCGTGGGTGAATGGGTGCTGCACAAACACTGCCCTAGGTTGGGTTGCTGGATGAGAAGCAACACGTGATCCCAGCCTTCCTGCTGCCAGGATGGGGTAAGGCTCATCCTGGGGAGCCCTACCCCTGCCAAGCCCAACGATGGAGGATTTGGATGCCTCCATCCTGCTCTCCCCAGGTGGGATTTCCCCATGCAGAACACATGGCCCCAAAGCCCAGCTTCTGCCCAAAGCCTCACAGCTGTGCCACAGGGACCTTGTGCCATGGAGCTGGTGTGGGCAGCACGTGCCCACAGGGCTGGGAGGGGGGGACGGGGGGGAGAAGGGGTGCTGCTGCCCCCCAAAAGGCAGCACGGCCCCTGGATGCCCCTCACCGTCTGCTATTGTTACCATCTGACAGCTTTTGGCGAAACCATCTTTGTGATTCAGCCGTGTTTATCCCAGCCTGTGGCCCGGCCCAGCGTGGGTTTCCATGGAAAACTTCCATCGAAAACAAGGAGAAAAGGAGTTACAGCAGGAGTGACTCAGCCACAACTGGAAGCTTCTGCGGATGAGGCAGAGAAGGGGGGGACTCTTCCCACCAGCTTGGTCCCAACTGGGCAGCGGGGCCCAGGGACACCCCTGGATGCGTCCAGCAGCTCTCTCGTGCCCAAATCCCAGCACACTGCAGGTAAGAGCCAGGCCCAAGGGAGATGCATTGTGTAAGCATCCATGAAACGCATCACCTTTCAGGAGCATCCCCTCCCCAGCAGTCTGCATCGGGCCCTGCACACTGCTGGCTGTAGGGGAGGAAGAGTGAGATGAGTAAGGCTGGAAGGACGGTGAGACCCGCTGTCAGCGCAACCCACGGGAGCCCCTGTTTGTGTCTGCCAGCCCTGCATGGGCAGTGAGAGCAGGGAGGGAGCGGGGGAGGGCCTGAGTCAGCAGCAGCACTGGGGAAGGGATGCAGGGAGCAGGGGGTGGGTGTTTGCCAGTGGGAGGATGCTTGGGATGCTCACAGCATCTCCAGTGCTGCTGGTTGCCTCAGAGCTTGCGGCAGGAATGGCAGCAAGCAGGGGTGCAGCTGCTCTGGGGGGCTGGCACTGCTGTGGACACACTGGGGGGGATGCAGAGAGAAACAGAAAGCTGTTTTAGGGGGCAGAAATAGGGAGCAGAAGGGTGAAGTGCATCCCTGTCACAGGCTCCCATTGCCACTGGGTAAAGACAACACAGGGGGGAAAAGCAAAACCCCCACGAATAACGCTCCCGGGTAGGAAAGACATTTGCCAGCCTCTCTTTCAGGCTCACATCCCTCCTGTTTTCTTCCCCACGCAGCTCACAAGAAGGTAGATCATAGGAACTAGACCTGGACCAGCAAAAGGTACGTGGCACGGGGCCGAGCTGCTGCCGAGGTGGCAGAAGGCAAGCAGAGGTGAGAGTGGTGCTGCGTGGCATGGGGCAGACACGGCCATGCTCAGAGGGGCTGTGGTGGGCAGGATTCCCAGGGCACGGCGCCCTCCTCCGACCAGCAGGTGATGTCTGCAGGAGTCACTTCCCTCCTCCCTTCACAGCAGGTGCAAAAACCACCTTCCTCCCGCCCTGCTGACACCTCATGCAGATGAAGGGTCGGCTTGATTTGTTTTTATTATTTGCTTTCAGCTCAGGGAGAAGACACCTGGCTTTTTAAATTTTTTTTTATTGAACCCCTTGAGAATGAGATGCAGGTGCTGGAGTATCAAAAAGCCCCCAGAATTCAAGCCCACCCACTCGTCAACCCCCCCCCCCCTCCCCTCCATTCTCCCCAGAAGAGCCGCATGGGAAGCAGCAGGGCCATTCTGCTCACTCACCCCGCACACACACAGGTCCATCCCTGTTTCCAACGCCAGCGAACGGCTGCGGTGCCTCCGGCCGGTGCGGCTGCGGGACACGGGGGCGGGGGAAGCGGCTGCGGGACCGCAGTGCAGGCTGGACCGCGGCGAGCAGACATCACTGCAGTGCCTCATCCGCGCCGTCCCGCGGTGATGGGCTGCGCCGGCGAAGCGCCACGGCGAGCTGCAAGCTCGGCAATAATGAAACGGCGGGCCGGCCGAGCTGCCTGCTGCTGTCTTTTCACAGCGCCTGGAAGCTCAGGTGGGAAAGCAGCGAGACAAAGGCCCTGCTGCTTTGTCATCACGAGGTTCAGCCTCGCTGTTTTGGCTGCGTTCACCCACCCCCTGCTGCTTGGCAGGGCAACAGGTGTGTAGATGCACAGCAGCATCTCTGCGTCTCCCCGCGTGCTCCTTCCCCACCTCCCTGCGGGCCAAAAGCTGCATTTTTGCTCCCCAAACCGACCCCCAGCGTCCTCAATGCAGAGACCAAGGGGTGACAGACAGACACCCCACAGCTCTGCATCAGCCCAGGAAGCGGCCAAGCAGCACTGTGATGCCGGAGCCCCCAGAGCCTCCACACCCTTCAGTTACCCAAGAGCAACATCAGTGCAAATCTGACCTGCAGGGGAAAGCAGCCTCATGCTCTCACTGCTGCCTCCATCATGCTGCTGCCACAGAACCAGCAAGAAACCAGAGAGCAAAACTCACACGAATTAAAGCTGCTCGGTTAGTTTTGACCTGCGGCGGTTCCCAGGCGTGTTCATGGCTCAGTGAATGCTGAAAGTGCTTCCATCTACTGATCCACACCCCGTGATTGCCTGAGGCTCAGAGCCTCAGCCTGGGGAAGCATGAGGAGCCCACAGACTCAGGTGACACCTTCCCACCCTGCACCACAGCACTGTTCTCTCCTCCTGGTGCTTGTGACCCACCAGAGGATTGCCCAGCACCATCCTCTGCTCAGCCCCACCTGTAAGACCTCAGTGCAGCAATATAGGAGAACAGCCCCACCTGGCAACACGAGCAAACTACCACGTTTAGCATCTGCAGTGCACTTCATCACTGAAAAAAAAGGGCATCAGAGACCATGCTGTGAGCTGAAGTCCCTCTGGGTACAGACCCGAGGCCGGTGTACCCCAGCACTGAAGCCACGTGGCAGCCAAGCAGGATGCCTACCATCAGAGCAACAACACCAGCATCGCAGATTTCTGTGTGCATTTGGAAAATATCAGACAAAAACCTAGCAATGGTTGAGTTTTTCCTCGTTTGTGAAGGCTCTTTGCACAGCAGAAGATATAACAGATCTCTCAATTCACACAAGCTGAACCAGCAGAGAAATTTAATGCATGAGGCAAACACCAACCCTGACACTGCCAGGAAATGTCTTCTCTAGGCCCAGGCCCATTGAAAGGCTGGCTTCGTTTATTTAGTAGGGGATACTGAAAACACAAACCTTTTTGGATATAAGAGCTGCAAGTACTGTGTGCTCTGCAGCTGCTTCCTCTGACTGAGATCGTACTTTTGAAGGGACTCTGAAAGTCCATCAGGCACAGCTGCATCACTCTCTTGCCTGCAATCCAATGTCACATACATAATAAAGTTGCAAAGAAGAGCTACAGAAGAGTTTCACTGTGTTAATATAGCAAAAGAGCACAGAGATCGTGACAACCTCTCCAAAGAGCGCAGAAACAGCAAGCTCTGCTCCAAGATGCCCCACCAAGCAGCCCACCACAAATTACAGACACCGCTGTCACACTGCTCCAGCCCCTGGCTGCTCAGCCCGGCCCTGCCCAGGGCAGAAACGTTCCAAGAAGCGCAGGTAGGCCTCCTTTTGTGCCGCAGCCACGGGGACGAAATGCCCGCCGGGGTGCGTGACGACGACGGGCTCCACGAAGCACCGCGCCAGCTCAGTGCTGAGGTGCGCAGCGATGACAGCGTCCGCATCGCCCACGACGTGCAGCGAGGGCAGGGCGATGGGCTCCCGGTAGAAGTGCTCGTGGGCCGGCGCGCGGCTGGCGAAGGCGGCCACCAGGATGGCGAAGGCGACGGGAAAGCGCGGATCCCCGCGGGCCCGCAGGGCGCACACCATAGCGGCCAGCGCCGCACCCTGGCTGAAGCCCAGCAGCCCGTCGAAAGGCCCGCGCTCCTCCAGCGCTCTCGCCACGGCCTCCAGCGATTCCTCCAGCCCTGCCGGCCGATCCGCTGCCTCCGAGGCCTCAAAAGCTCCCGGCCTGGAAAACCACCACCCACGTGGGGGGTCGTCGCTTATTTCATCCTCACTGCCGGGCACGAGGTGCGGAGCATCGAGGGCTACGAGCTCAGCACGGCCTCGCAGAGCCTTGCGCAGCGCGCCGGTGCGCTGTCGGAAGCGGCGCTCGCTCTGCCGGTAGCCGTGCAGCGCCAGCAGCCGCAGAGGCCGCCCCTCCGACATGGTGCCCGCCACAGCCGGAAGTGAGCGGCACTTCCGGCCGCCCCCTCTTCCCGCCGGAAAGCTACGCGCTGATTGGCTATCGCCGCACGCAAGGAAAGGCTCGGGGAGGACCGTCCGCCGGCACGCCCCCTTGCGGCGGGAGGTCGCGGGACGGGGACGTGGAGGGGGCGACCCCGACGGGGTGCCAGTGGAACCGGCGCCGTGCAGTGAGGGGGGATGCGGAGCGGGAGGGGCTGCGCGACCCGCTTCCAGCAGGCAACGAGGCCATACGGGCCGTCCTCAGTTCCACCCCTTTCCATCCTGGTGCTGGTACCAGGGATGCCCCAAATCCGTGTGGCCCCGATGATGCTCACCCTGGGGCGGCTGAACCCATGCCAAGTTCCCACAGGTGGCAGCGGGGCCACCGGGACCCTGTTCAGGAGGTGGCCGTGTCCTCAGGCGGGTGAGCACTGCGGGAGCCCTCAGTGCCATTCTTCAGGCTGGGGGTTGTGAGTGGCTTCTCCTGTTGGGACAGACATGGGGTAAGCAGAGAAGGGGCCACCTGTGCCCCGACGGAAGGTGCCGCGTGGGCACCAGCCCTGCTCTCCAGGGAGCAAGCCACTGGGTGGCGCTTGTGACACACGGCACCGAGCACCAAGGGACACAGTAGGGACTCCCACCCCCCAGTGCCCACCTGGGCTGGCCGTGCTGAGCGATTGGCCGTCCACGGTCCCAGGGATTGACTGGCATAGAAGTCCATGGGGTACGGCTGTTGCCACTCGATGTCCCCAAGAGCCACCGCTGCCTGCGAGGAAGGGATAAGGGGCTGAGTGCCACTTGCAGTGCTGGGAGGGGTCCTCCTGAAATGCACCGGGGGCTGCTCACCTCATAGGGTGTCAGCAGTGGTTTGCCGAAGGCCTCCCCCCAGTCGATGGAGAGCCGTGGACAGGCGATCTGCACCCACCTGTGAGGAGAATGGCAGCAATAAAGCCCCCAACAGCCCCGTGTGAGGAACCTCAGGATGGCTCTGGACACCGCCGTGAGGAGCTGCTCCCCTTCACCGTGCTGCGTCCCAGGACCAAGAAACATCACTTGGATGTAGGGGCACCACGGAGGAACTCTCCATGACAACAGCCCAGAACTACGTCAGGCCCAGCACCGCATTCCCAGCACGGCTCTGGGGCTCCCCACAGGGATGGGGCCGGGAGCACTCACGCATCCACGCTGTCGAAGAGCTGCAGTTTGCTGGGGAAGATCTCAGACAGCAGCACCCGCACGAAGGGCCGGCCCAGGGCACGCAGCCGTGACTCCAGGTGCTGTGGGGAGAAAAACAGCACCGTGGTTCAGGGGCTGGCCAGCCTCATGCTAACCCGCACAGCACTTTCCATCCAGAAGGCCATACAGAACCCAAAGCTCAGCCCTCAGGCCTCTTGGGAACACAGCTCTGTGTCCCTGCCACATCCAGGGGGCACACACGGTGACAGGGCCGCAGCTCCAGCTCGCACGCCGCTTCCCCTAGCACGTGCCTCAGCCTAATGAAGTAATTACTGCTCAATGACAACAATCTGTTCTCGTTAGCGGCTGCCAGCCTTGGGACGCCTGCCTGCTGCAGGGCTGAAGGCTGTGGGAGGACGTGAGCAGTGTGGCCGTGACCTCAGAGCCACCAACTGTTTCCCGTGCCCTACTGCGCCCGTCACCTCCCTGAGCCGCCCCCCAAAATCACTCTCAGGATCTCTGCCCCACATCTCACTGCTGATCCCCCAAATCCCCCCCAACATCAACGGCAGCACCTTGGCTCTGCTCCCCTTGCCCGCAGAGACAGTGAACCCAAGCAGGAGTTCATCCAATTAAAACCAAACCAGCGAATTAATTGCTGAGCTGCTCATCCAGGGGGGTCTCCACGGCTGGCCAGTGTTTAATGAGCCCTTGGCCAACCTCCCTCATCTGCTGCTAATTGCCCTGCCCGCACGGCTTGGGGCGGATCGATGGCAGCAAGAGAGGGCAGGCGCTGTCCTTGCCCCTTTCCCAGCCATGTCCCCAAGGTGAGGGGACCCAGCAGTACCTGTAGGATGGCAGGGGATCCCTGTCGCCCCAGGGTGCCCAGCAGCAGCCCCCAGCACTGGGCGCGGGTGGCGGAGCGGATGGTGGCCTGCCGGGCTTCACGCATGCGGTCATGGGCATAATGCTCCTGCGAGAAGACCTTGCTGTAGGGATCATACCTGTGGAGCAGACCCAAACTCAGCCACAAGCAGCCCCCAGCCCCACAGATGGCCCCCAAACTGCTCCATGCCCTCCTTCATTTGCACTAATTAGCTCACAGGGCCCAGTTGGTTCATCAGGAGGGCAACGGGGCCAGGACTGCGCTCCCATCGCAGCCCCCCACACTCAGCCCCCCCCAGTCCCAGCTCATCAATTATAAAGGAATCTTTGATTTGTTGCTTTGTTTGACGAGGAGAATTTTAATCAAATCCCTCTCGGGTTTCGGCAGCTTCCCCAGCGCCATAAAGCTGACGCGCGCCTCCCGTTCGTAACAAACGACCTACTAAGAAATTCAGATTTCACCAAATGGGCCCTGCCTTTCGCTCTTGATATTTCATCTGCTTTCAGCAGCCTCATCATCACGCTTTATGGCCTCTGCCTGCAGCAGCCGGGGAGTTTAATGGCTGCACCTCAAAGAGCTTTCACAGGTACTTGTCAAAATGTTTATATTCAGCCGGAGTAAATGGCTGGTGTTCATCGCATGGAGCGTGGCTCCCTCTGCCCTGCTGGGATGGGGGAGGAGTTGGCCCTACCTGTAGGCGGGTATCCCCGGGTTGGAGATCATGATGGACTCCAGGTGGAAGCGGCCGTCCCCCAAATAGCTGCGGGAGAGAGGGAGAGGAATGGGAGGTGGTGGAGTCGTGTGCTCCTTCCTCAGCATGCAGGGTGTGGAGGGGTGGGTGGATGGACGGATGGACAAATGGATGGATGGACAGATGAATGGACACATGAATGGACAGATGGAAGGGCAGATGGATGGATGGATGGACAAATGGCTGGATTAATAGACGGATGGACGAATGGACAGATGGGCAAATGGATGGATGGACAGACACGTGGATGCATGGATGGGAGGATGGTTGGATGGACAGACACGTGGATGGAGAGATGGACAAATGGGCAGACAGACAGATGGATGGACAAATGGCTGGCTGGCTGGATGGACTGACAGATGGATGGATACGTAGATGGACGGATGGACAAATGGATGGATGGATGGATGGAGAGATGGTCGATTGGACAGATGGATGGAGAGATGGACAGACAGACGGACAGATGGAGAGATGGACAGTACAAAGAGAAAGACGGACAGACGGACGGACGGACGGATGGATGGATGGATGGACGGACAGACAGATGGATGGACAGCCACTTTTGGAGCAAAAATGGACATGAAGCAGCAGGGCCAGCGCTCCGTCTCTATGGCTGGTTATAGACGTTGCTGCTTCCATTTCTAATCGGATTTCAAGTCAGCAATTACATTTCAAAGCCTTTCATTCAGCTGCCCTAATGGAGTGAGGGCTCGGAAAATGAATTCAGACGTAAAACTTGACTAGATTTTTGCCCTTAATTGGAGAATGACATTTTGGAAGATCAAAGCTAATTTGTCGGCAAAAGTTAGCCCCAGAGACGGGCTAAATAAGAAAATAACAACGCGGGGAGGATGCAGGTACGTCGGGGTGTGGGCACCTCGGAGGATTGCGGGTCCCATGCTATGGTTCCAATGGCAGGATGGGTCTGCTCATGCCAGCGTGGTGGCTTTGGGGACAGCAGAAACGCAGTGCCTCACCCCCAGGTCCAGATGCAGGGCAAAGTCACAGCCCTGTCCCACATGGCTGCCCCATGGCTGGGAACATGAGGGCGATGCTCTGCCTCACCCCGGGTGGCTGAGATGGGGTTTAACACCCCCAAGGGTGGGGTCCTCGTATTTATTTATTCTGCAGCGCACTGTATTCACAGTACATTAAGCATTTCCATTACCTAAAATAATTAGGTGATAGGAAGCGAAGTGCTCCCTCTAATTTGCTGTCCTTAAATAAAATTAATGTTGCTGTGATGTTGGGCCCCGGCCATTTGTCTTTTCCAATTATCCACCCGCCCTTCCATCTATTATCTATTCTGATATACGACTCAATTATTTCCTCTGTGCTACGAGCAGACGCCAATCAGAGCAGCTTTAGGAGCCGGAGGGACCCAGCCCAGCCCACGTACACCCCAGGCAGGGCAGGGGAGGGATGGGCAACCCTGGCACCAGGAAGATGTACCCACGGATTTGGGGAGGGCATGGGGATGGGGTTGAGGATGGGGTCGGGATTGGAAAGGATTTGGGATAGGTTAGGGATGGGGATGGCTCTAGGGATGTGAATGGCACTGGGATGAGATGGGTTTGGGGACAAGGTTGGGAATGGGGATGGGGCTGGGGACAAGATTGGAAATGGGGAGAGGGCTGCAGATGTAGTGGGGATGATAACGGAACTGAGAACAGAGACATGAATGCGGATGGGTTTGAGGATAGAGGCAGATTTGAGGATGGGGATGGGGTTGGATATGGAGCACGGCTCCAGCCTGGCTCTGTGCCCTGCCTTGAGCTGCAGGGTCCTTGGGGACAGCAGGTACTTACACAATGGCATCAGTGTCCCGTGCGAGCCGGGGCGATGTGCAGCCCAGTATCTCACCAGGGGACAGAGGCTTACACTGGGGCACACACACCTTGTACTGTGACTGCAGCTCCTTCGAGGCCGCCTGCAGAGACATGGGGTTCAGCCAGAGAGCCAAGATACAGAGCCCACACCTGGCCAAGGCTGGTGACAATCACAGTGCTGGGGACCCTCGGGGCACCTCAATCTGGAGAGCCACAGGGTGCCTCAGTTCACAAGGTAATGGCCCTGTGGAGCAGAGATGCTCTGCCACACTAGAACAACGTATCAATTAGAAGAGAAGGGAAAATGCTTAACGCTCCAACAGCCTCATGTTTGGATAGACGTGGCTCAAGAGGCTCATTCATCTCCGCTCAGGAGCAGACAGACAGACAGACAGAGCTGCTGGAGCTTCCCCCAGCACTGCACCGAAATACCACATGCTCCTCTGCCTGCCCTGACATTTACAGAGCAGCTCCCAGGGGAGCTGGGAAGCGGTGCTGCTGTGAAACATTGATCAGAGTTATCACAAAGCTCTCCATCAACGCGATCGTGGCTGCTCACCTGCACTGCAGCCACAAACTGGATGGTGCTGACCAGGGCCAGGGAAGAACCTGCGGCGAAGTTGAAGCGGATGGTGTCCAGGAAATGGGATGTGTCAATCTTGATGTCCACGAAGACGTAGAGCATCTTCAGACCACGCGTGGCATCGATGGGGACTGCCAAGAGAAAGAGTGTGAGGATGATTCTGGGGGGGGCTCTCCTTATGTCCCATAGCCTGGTGTATGGCAGATGGGGGCCTGTTCACTCCAGGCAGGGGGTGCAGATGGAGCACCCATTCATTTCTCTCTGGATAACGGCAGCCCGGGGGGGATCAATGAACACAAATCTAATTACCCCCGGTGCTAAGAAGCCTGTGTCACCACGATTAAGTGAATAATTAAAGTACACAGAGTCCACATCGATCCGCAGCTCCGCATTCACTTCCCATTTTGGTGCGCTTCGCCTGAGCACAATTAAGTGCAAATTACTCCCTCCTGCAGGGCCGGAGGGATGGGGATGGTGGCTCTGGGGTGGCCACCCCCAAAAATACCATGGGATCCCACAAGGATAGCTGCGCTGAGCCGGTGTCAGGGTGGGCAGCCCAATAGATGCCCCTCGGGGTGCTAAATTCATAATGTGGTTTTGAGTTACAGATCTCAACCAGGAGGTCAGTATTTCATAGGGAGCCTGGAGCGATACTACAAACCCCATAAGCATCCCCAGAGCCCCCGTCCAGGCTCAGAGAAGCTGCAGGATGCTGGGAAGACCGAGGCTGCTGCCCAGAACAGCAATTCCACCGATCCACCTTAAAACCCAGAGTGTCTTATTGTTATTTTTGGGCTGATTCCATCCTGGGTGGACTTCAAAGTTAGCAGCATCTGGGACAGCAGCGCAGTTTCCATGGCAACCGGATCCAGAGTACCGTCCGCCTGGGGAGCACACAGCCTCCTCCTCCCTTCCCCTTCCAGCCAGCTCAAAGCCACGTCCCCATTGTCCCCACCGTCCCTATTGTCCCCATCCCCACCAGTAGCTCCCAGGCACAGAGGCTGTGTGCTCTGCTGATGTCAGGCTCAGGGCCGTGATTTGGGCGATGCCACGGCCAAGCAGGCACTGCAGCGCTGCGATAGGGACGCGCTCCGCATGCACTGCTGCTCCCCAAATCCTACCCAAAGGCAGCAACCCAATCAGCCCGGCCCTACCCAGCTCTGCTTTTGGAGAGGGCTTACAGCACTCGGTGCCACGGCCCCATGCTGGCACTGAGCACGGGCACAGTACTGGCAGTCCCCAGTGCCACCGCACACTCCAGAACCCAACGTCACCTACTCAGGCAGCTGTGTCCATAGTGCACCAAGAAGTCAGCACCCAGAGCCCGCGCCGTGTAGTCATCCACGCAGCACGCGCCGTACGTCACATCGCCCATCACCACGGCCTCAGCATCTGTAAACCTGCAGGAGGGACAGCAGTGCAGGCGGCATCGGGGTGGCATCAGGATGGCAGCGTCGTGGCACACGTCCTCCCTGCCCTCTGCCGGTGTCCCCAGCCCCGCCGTGTCCCTGCCGGCACGTGACGCGGTGCGAACGGGGGACCCCTCGGCACGCAGCGGGGAGGACGAGCACTGGCCACTCTCCGAGATGTCAACATGATTAAAGTGGAGAGCGCTAATCCTCCTCTTCAATTGGGTAAAGCTGTTTGCAATTCAGCGGATTATCCGCTCATCAAATAATACGCTGCCAGCTTCCTAATGCAGCGGCACGGAGAGACCCAGCGCACGGCCACCGTGCCGGGGATCGGAGCCAACCCGAACCGTGCCAACCCCATAGCAGAGGCCGTGCCCCCACACACCCTGGGCACTGCTGCTGCCCTCCAGCCCACGCCTGGCTGGCACTTGGACAGGGACAGCACAAAGTGGCACTGTCCCCTGGAACCCATACCTGGTGCTGCCATTGGGAGATAAAGCCCCGTCGTGTGATTTAAGCGTGCCACCTTCACCGGTGGTTTATTGCACCATTCCGGGGGATTATTAGCTTGGCCACGTTCCCGTGGTGTTTTAATTAGGAAAGCGGGTATCGCAGTGACAAAGCCCCATGCCTGGAGGGCTGCTTCAACCAGATGCTGACGCCTTATTTACACCAAGGTTGTGCCACAGGCTGGGTTGGAAGACCCTTCTGACAGGATGGTGGCTGAGGTGCCATCGGGGTCTGCGTGCCGGTGAGGTCCCAGTGACACCAAGGCAGGGTTTGGGGACAGCAGAGGCGTCACCCCCTGCTGGCACTGGCTGAGGGCCAGGGTCCCCCTCCCTGAGTGCCGTGCAGGGAGCGTTACGTCGGCGGCAAGAATAGAAGTGGTGGGCAGATCTGGGCAGATGGCAGAAGGTGGAGGAATGGCGGAGCGTGCAGAATATTAACAGCTCCGACCCAGCGGCAGAGCTCGGAGAAGGGGACAGGGCACACAGTGTCCCCAGTGCGGGGACAAAGCCACCATCATCTTCGTGTCCTGCCCAAAGCAGACATCCCATGGGCAGGGGTTGCGCTGGGGACAGCTGGAGGATGGGTGTCAGCACCCAGAGCTGCGGTCCCGATGGCATGGATGGGCACACGGCCACCCCGCTGCCCATATGGCAGTGCCATAGGGCTGCTGAATGATCCAGAAGGCTCTTTCCCCACCCCCCGGTTCCCCTCAGCCCCCTTCTCTAATGAGAGGTGATGAGATGAACGTGAATCAGACTCCACACATCTCAGCAAAAGTGGAAAATTATTCAGCTCCTTAAGATTCAGGACGGGGAGGTCTGACTCAGAGCAGCAGCCAGCACCGCTTAATTTTTTATAGATTAAAATGTATGCAAATTGGCCCAAACCCCAGAGAAAGTCCCTGGGGGTGAAGAGCAAGAAAGTGAAATAGCAACGGTGGAGGGAGGGGATGGCAGAGGGGCACTGTGCTCCCACCCATGGCACACAGCCATACGGGGACGGGGCTGAGCTGCCTGACCTCATAGCACACTCCTGGACTGGACAGGGGACATGGGACAGACCAAGGACACAGTAGGACGATGGCAGCAGGCTCCCCGTGGTGACGTGGGGACAGCACATGCCGGGGTCACCCACACCGGATGGGCTATGATGGAGCAGCCATAATCTCCTGAGACAAATCAAAGCAGAGCACGGGGGCCTCCCCTTGATGTTTTAATCAGTTCGGCGTCGCCGGAGCCTTTCATCAAACTACAGAGGAAGGAAATGTCAATTAGCATCCACCTGCCCGCGACACGGGACGCTGCACTGCAATGGGACACAGTCCTCGCCATGCTCCATGTCCCCACTGCCCGGTGGTAAGTCAGGCTGTGGTGACAGGGCTGTCCCCACGGGGCTGCGAGCCGTTCTCTCCCTCTGGGAGCTCATGAATATTGAAGACAAGGGGAGGTTATTCATCTTTTCCGTCCCGCAAACCCCGTTCATTCTGAAAAACAGCCCGGCCTTAGTGTTTTCCTCATCTCCCCTAATTCATTATCTCCTCCTTTAAACAGATGGTTCCCAAAATGCCATTTATAAAGTGCCACGCTCAGCACCGGCAGAGGGCTGGGACCCCCTGCACTGCTCTGCCACAGCACGGCGCAGAGGTGACACAACCCAGTGACAAACACGGGGACCCCATCCCTTTGCCAACACCCCTCCCCCCAGGTTTTGCTCCTGCTTGACTTCTGCAAGCAAAACTTCCCAGCCCCAATCCCTGAGAAGGTTTGGAGGGGAGCCCCTGATCCCAACAGCACCATGGGTGCCCAAGTCCCTTTGGGACGGGTATACATGGAACTCTTTGCTCGACCCCAACCTTCCACCCCCCTAAAAGCATTGAGCACAGCCCCAGCGTAGAACAATGCGATTAATTAGCAGAGAAGCCCGTCGCCGAGCCCCATTACCAGGTTCCCAACTTCATTAGCACAGGAAAGCTGCACATAATTAAAATAATGAGTTTGCAATTTTACTGCAAGCGGCTCTGGAAGAGCACCGCTGCAGCTGGGCAATTATTGCCTGCGTGCAGCACAGGGACCCGCAGAGCACCTGCAAGTGGGTCAGGATGGGGAGACGGCAACAGGGATGGGGTTCCCATCCAACGTGAGGATGCAGAGCGCTGTGACCCCACTGTTGGCCTTTGATGCATCCCAGCTCTGTGCTTTGCTGTGCTTTGTGCCTTGAAGCTGGAAAACCCCCCAAAAGATGAAGCTATGGAGCAAAGAACAGCAGTGACCAAGCCACCATGGCTGTCCCATGCCTATCTGGCGCCCATCCCTTTGGCAACAGCTTCCACCAAGGACTGGCCATAGGGTTGCCAGCTCCCCAGTCTCTGTAGGGACACAAGGACATAGAATATGGACACAAGGACACAGACACAAGGACGCAGACGCCGCAGCAGGATGGCATTGGCACGTTCTGACCTCAGGAGGTAGCAGCCCTTTGCCCCATTCGCCCCACGCCATCACCACCCAACCGAGCTGTTCACCATCTCCACTGAAGTGAGAACTTCATTCTCCCTAATGATGCTGTTGTGTGCTTAATGAGGGTGATTAAATCCCCCCTGTGCAGCACCACGCGCTCGAAGGACGAAGGGAACAGGGAGGGCAGCGGTGGCTGAATCCTGCACCCCAAGAAGGGTCCTTTAGGGCTGACACCACAGCAGCTTGGCCAAGGGATGTGGTGTCCCCATGGTGCCATCCACCAGGAGGGGACAGTGCATGGCACTGAGGGGCTCCCCCCCTTTGCTACTGTGGCCACCAGCTCCAGGGCAGGGAAGGGGCAGAGCAGTGCCACCAGCACGTCCCTGACTCCATCACCTCCCCTATTAGCAGCAGACAGGGGGGATTAGCAGCTGCGCAGCCTGACAGCTGATTTTATTAACAAGGAATCAAGAGCCCAGCTGAGCCGCCTGCCGTGCACGGGGAAGGAGGGGGGGTGGGGGGGGTCTGCTCCCAACTCCTCCCCCCCCCCCCCAACACATGGAGCTGGTGGGCTGAGGGCTGCCCCCCGATCCCGAGCTGTTGTCCAGGCTTTCCCCCACGCTGCCACCCCCTCACCGGCACGAGCTCCCTTCCACCGAATTACATCAGCCACCAGAAACGGAGCCAATTTGGATGCTGCCTGGAGAGCGTCGTGATGCGGCTCCAGCAGCGCACGGCCCCGCCAGCTCAGCAGCCTGCGGGCGGTAGCGAGACCCCCACCTCAACGGGGGCTGCGGACCCCCCACCCCCCTCCACACCTCCACGATAACGACAAACCTATCAGTGCTAATTAACAGGACTTCACACCGGTCAATGCTGTCAGTGTCTCTATTTGAAAGGCTCTGTGTTAAGTGCCCGGCGCTTTTCCATGATGCTCCCGTGACATCTTCATCCCTGCTCCCAGCCAACATGATGCACAGGGACCAGGAACCCAACCCTGCTCTTGTCCTCACCATCCGGGACTCCAACAAGCAGCCCCCTGCCCTTGGCCCCACTGTTTCCCTGCAGTGAGGCAGACAAGACCCCGGCCAGCACCATGTGCACATTCTCACTCTCATCCCAGCCCAGCAGACACAGCCCTGGCTACAGAACATGGCACACATCACCCTGGGGTTGATGGCAGCTTGACTCTATCCCCATTGGCATTGCATCACATCAACTCCCACCACACCAGAGCACCTGTCCCCAGCTGGAACACAGATGTCACCCAGTGCCCCCAACCAAGGGACAGACCTTGGGGTGCCCCCCGGTCAGGGTGCCACCGCTGCTGGCAGTGAGGGCGAGACTGGTGGGGCTGCTGGGGAAGCGGAGCTTAAGGTTTCATTCAGATGAAAGAGCCCCTTAATCCGCTGCCTTTGAAGTCAGAGACATGAAAGCGGCTGGGTGCCAAAGCCGGGGAGAGGAGGCAGCGCTGCTTAAAGGGACAGACCCACGCAGAGCCACCTGCACTCTGCACCCATCCCCTGCATCCTCCCACCCCTTATGCAGAGATGGGACAGGTGACAAAGTCGGGGTATGTGCCATGACCCCCCCCCAGGTGCTGTCACCTCCCTGTGAGCCTCCTCACAGAAGGTGACAGCGTGCTAACAGATGCTGTGACCCCACTGGTGGTGACACTGAGGTCACAGCTCCAGGGGATGCATCACCAAGGGCACTGTCACCCCGACAGCAGGGCTGTGTGACAGCAGTGGGGACCGCAGGCACTGGGGACGTGGTGTGACCACGCTGTCCCCATCCCCAAGGGGCAGATGGTGCTGCATTAGGTTGGGAGCCCCCCCAGCCCCAATATCAGGTCAGATCTTACCGCTCAATGATATCTGCAATGGTGCAGGCGAACATGAGCAGCCCCTCCGGCATCTGCAGGGCCACTGGGAAGAGAAAGGCTGTGGTTAACGGGGGATGCTCCCAACTGGGGCCCACCCCACAGCACACCGAACCACTTCATCCCTCCCCACAACTGAAATTGGGCACTGTGCCCTCAGAAAGCAGCAGCACAGCACGGATCTCCCCGGAACGGCTCACCCTCTGCCGCTCGCACCCACCCTGTGCGAATGCATTTAATCCCTTTCTGAACCCGCCGACACTCCTTGTCTCTCCCACTTCCCGCTGTAATGAGTTCTGGGTTTTAATTAAGCGCTGCACAGGAAGAGGTACTTTCTTCTGTTTATTTTAAACCTGCTCCTAATAATGTAAACGTGTGCCCCTGGTTCTCCAGCTACAAGAAAGAGTGGATAATCATCGCCTTTTCAGCTCTGCACCATTCATAATTCCACAGCCCTCTGTCATATCCCCCCTTCGTTCGTCTCTTTCCCAACAAAAAGAACTAAATCTATTTAATCTCCCATTGTACAGAGCTGTTCCAAACCTTTGATCGTCCTTCGCTGCCCTTCCCCTTGCTGCTGCTCTCCCACTTTGGAGGTGCCAGCACAGCTCCACGTATGGCATGCATTTATTCACAGTGAGATGATGCCTCTTAGTCCCACTGTCCCCACCTGGGGCTGCCTTTACCCACTGCCACCCAATGGCACTGGTGGCCAAGCACACAGCAGGAAGGTCCTGGCTGCCATCCTGAACACACCCCAGCACTGGCAGCCCCATAGAACCATTCAGGTTGGAAAAGACATCCCAGAACCCCAACTCCAACCCCAGCCCACCCCCACTGCGCCCACTGACCACATCCCTCAGTGCCACAGCCCTCCCACGTCTCCTCCCCACTGCTCACCCTTCTTGGCACCCGCCTGCCGGATCCTCCAGATGGTTTTGGGGATCTCAAAGTTGTAGTTGGAAGGCAGAGCCCCCACTGCCTCCCGCAGCTCTGCATTATTCAGCAGCTCCTCAGGGACCTGGCGGGCAGTGCGACGTGGGGCTCGATCTGGGGATACAGTGGGAGTCAAGGGGTGAAGCCTATAGGGCATCAGGTCCTTGGGCCATAGGGACACTGTGTCCTAAGGCCATGGAGACATCACACAGGGCACTCTGACCCAGCAGCCACGGGGACTCTGTGTCCTAAGGGCATGGAGACATCACATCCTAGGGCTATGGGGACACTACAAGTGTAAGTAGTGTCCCCATAGTAGAGGCACAGCACCCTCGGGCTCCAGGGACACAGTGCCCCTAGGGCCATGGGGATCCTGCAACCTAAGCCCATGGGGACACCAAATCCCTGAAGCCACAGAAAGACCCCGTGCCACCTTCCCAAGGATGAACTGCAGCCTCCCTCACCCAACATGGGACAATAATGCTGTTTTTTGGGGAAAAAGCACCTTTTCTGCCCATTATACCTCAGAGCACTGCATTTGTAAGGCCATAGGAACAGTGTCCATAGGGCCACAGGGATGTCATGTCTATAGGGCCATACGCAGACCTTATGCTACCCGTGGGGATGGGGCCGAGGCACTCGCAGCCCCCACCACCCCCAGGGGCGATGCTTCCTTTTTGGGGGGGGGGGAGAGGGGACATAAAAACCAACCCCAAACCCCGATGTTGACACCCATCCCACCAGAGGGCATTCAACAGCGTCCTCCCCCGTACCCGGGGGGGGGGAGGACGGGGGAGAAGGGGGGCAGCGCTCCGTTATTCACCGCCGCCACGTCGATCATCGCCCCCCGACGCCGTCATCCAGCGAGCCCACGGCACAGCCGGGACGGGCATAGCCGGGACGGGCACAGCCCCCGCCGCCGCCTTCCCCCGCCCGGCGGCCCCCGGTACTCGCCCCGCTTCTCCCCCACGAGGCTCGGTTCTCCTGCCCGGTGCCCACCTGCGCTGCTGGCGGAGGGCAGAAGGGCCGCGCCGCCGGAGCGCGGCGGTGCCGCCATGGCGCTGGGCCACGTGGAGGCGGGCAGGCAGAGCCAGCCGAGCCCCGAGCGGGCGGGGCGCTCAGACCAGAGCAATCGATGGCCGAGAGAAAGAGAGAGAGAGAGATGGAAAGCGGTGCGCACCGCCCCGACGGGACGGGCTGGATGGGGTGGGACGGGTGGCAGGACTGCGTGTGGAGGCTCCGGCACGATGAACGCGCCGGTGTTGGGCTGTACGCCGGGATGTGCCTGGCTCTGAGCAGTCGGATTCGTTCCCAAGACGGACCACGGTGATTTTGGGCTGCGCACCCCGTGCTGAGCTCCCTGTGCTGAGCGGGTGCCGCTCGCAGCTCTGTGGTGATGTTGCCATGGTGACAGCCGCACCCGCCATGGGGGTCCCCCTCCTCTAGTATGCAAGTGCCTGCGAGTCGGGGGACCCCTGGGGGCCGTGGGGGAGCGGAGTGGTGGTGGTGACCCCCAAAGGATAGCGGGGCCGGCAGCGGGATAACGTGGGATAACGGGATCTGCGGTGGGGATGGAGAGAGCCCCAGTGGACAGAGGGGACCTCCGCGGACAGCAAAGCGCCGCGGGGACATCGGGATCCCGGTGTGGGATTGGGAACCCGATGGGATGATGGAGGCAGCGGGAGGCGGAAGGTACAGAGGGGACTCGAGGGACATAGAGCGGGAAAGGAGCGGGTGGAGCGAGGGCCCTGGGCGGAGGGGCAGCGGGGACAGCAGAAACGCGGGTGGGGCAATGGAAAAGCAGAGCTCTACGCTGGGACATCCGGTGTTCCGATAGGGGCGGAGGGGACGATGAGGAGGTGATTCGGAGCCAGCGGGGACGGGATGTGCCGCCCGGCGGGACGGAGGGGACAGCGATGCGGCGTGGTGCCAGCAGCTCCCCGAGGCCAATAGAGCCCCGATGGGGCGGGGGGGAGCACCGGGAGGCGGCGCGGGGAAGCGGAGCAGCGGCACTTTCACGAAGTGTCCACGGGAGGCGGGAGAGGCGGCGGCAGAGGAGGAGGAGGAGGAGGAGGAGGAGGAGGAGGAAGGGGGGGCCCGGCCGGGCTCGCCCAGCCCAGCCCAACCCAGCCCGCCCCGTCGCTGCCCCGCCCCGCCCTGCCCAGCCCTGCCCGCCGCTGCAGGCACCGCCGCACCGGCCCCGGGCTCCCCTTCTTTATAGGCTCTGCCCGAGGGGGTGGGGGGCGGCGGCGGCCCCAGCCCCGAGGGGGCGGCTCCCCCCTAAAAGCCGGCGGCGGGACGCGCGGCGGGCAGAGGCGCGGCCGGTGCTCCCGGTGGGGCTCCGCGGGGCGGGCGCTCCCGGTGCCGCTGCGGCTCTGCCCGCCATGCCCCCGCGGGGGCCGCTCGTTCGGGCTCCGCGCTCCCGGTGCAGCCGCCGCTGCCGCCGCCACCACCGCCGCCACCACCGTTCCCCGCCGCCGCCGCTCTGAGCGCCGCCGCCGCTCTTCGCCGTTACCGCCGCGCCGGGAGACCGCGCCCCGCACCGGCACCACGATGCTCCGCCAAGGTGAGCGCCGCAACGGGAGGGCAACGGGTACCGGGGACAGCGGGCAAAGCGGGGGATCCGGTACCGGCTCCGAAGTTTGCCTCTCGCCGAAGTTGGGGCCGCGACGCCGGGCGCTCCCCCCGCAACCAACAGCTACCCGAGCCGCCGCCGGGGTGCGGGCACCGGCGATCCCCGGGGAACGGAACCGGGGAGGGATCGGCGGACGCACGCACGGCGTGTCCCGAGACGACGGTGCTCGGCGCCCGATGGAAGGCAGACTCTGATTTCAGCTCCGCGCGGCCGCTCGGGGTTCGGTGGGGGAAGTTGGGGCGCGTTCTTCTTGTTCTCTTCCCCCCTCACCCCCCTCCACTCCCCTCCCGTCGACCCGAAGAGATTCGCTCCGCTGTGACATCACGCTATTTCCATGGCAACCGCCTGGGACATCATAGGGATGCTTTTTGACATCACAGCCGGGGAGATGCCGACCCTCCGCGGGGGGGGGGGGGCGGGAGGGGTCCGCTTCTCCGGTACCGCCGTGCCCGGGTAGGTGCGAGCCGGGGACGGGGGGAGGCAGCACTGCCATACGGAGGGACCCCCTCGGACCCTCGGAAGGGTCACAGCACCGGCCCAGCCCACGGACCACCACATGCCCCCCTCTCCGGCGATGCTCCGGCACGGGAACGCGCGGTGCTGGAGGATGCGGGCGCTGTGCCCACTGCTCCACGCAGTCCTGTGCCGGGGCACCGAGCCCTGCTATCACTCCAGGGATGCCGTTCCCCGCGGGTTTAATGTCACCTTGCGGCTGCGGGGCCTCGCGCTTTGAGCCTCTTCTCTCCATCTCCCGCGTCGGCTTTGTTCGGTGTATTAACTCAAGCGGGCTGAGCTCGATCCCAAATCCCCGTGCATCCCGCTCGGAGAAATCATCACTTCCCGACCCCATTTCCCAGCACGGAGGGGTGGAGGCAAAGCAGGAGCAGGGCTGGAAAAGTGGAGCTGGATGTGGTTGCGTCCCACCAGGGGTTGCAACCTGCTTAAGGTCAGGATCTACGGCTTTATTTCGTTTCTGAAGCTAGGAAAACAAAATGCAAATGAACAGCCTCTGGGCTCATACAAAACCTATCCTTAAAGTTTTTGTCTTGTTAAGCAAGGAAATAGAGTGCCAAATAGGCTTTGTTAAGTGGCAGTCTAATTAATAATTTAAAATCTTGTAGCTGTCTTTCATTAGAATTTATCTGTACATCAACCACAAAATCAGTCAAACACACTCATTTATAAGTTAATGCCGTTTCTGAATAATTCAACAGGCAGTCAGGGGAGGGCCTCCGTCCCGCCCGGAGCCTCTCCCTTCCCTCCTCACCACGGCCCGAGGGCTCTGGGTGGGAGTCCCGGACCCTGCAGCGACCCCAAGGGAGGGGACACCGTGGGGACAACGGGACAGCAGCTACCAGAGATGGGGACGCTTTGGGGCCACTCTGGGTTTCAATGTGTTGGAGGATTTGGTTGCTTTGAGCGGTGCAGGTGGTGATGTTGCTGCTGCTTCTGCTGTCCCATCCTGCTGCCAGGCAGGGGAATGTGGTTTGGGATCGCATGTGCCATCCCCATGTCCCTGGGGGAAGCAGATCTGTGTGTTTGGTGTCCCCCACCCCCACCCCATGCCTCCTCCTGCCTTTTTGGGGGTTTCTCTGATGTCCCCTGACAGGATGCTGCCCCTTGAGCATGGTGCAAGGCATCACCACCAGTGGGATTTGGGGTGTTTTGGGATGCCAGGACATTACTGGTGAGAGCATGAAGCATTGTGCCAAACCTGAGCAACGGTGGCAGCAGGGACAGCATCCTGCCAGAGGTGGCAACCACCAGGAGTGCAACATCAGAGGTGCAAGAGGAGATTTCCAGGTCAAGGATGCTACCAAGGTCACGGCTGGCCGTATCTTGGCATGGTTGTGGGGCTCCCAGCTCTCAGTGCTGTGGGGCCAGAGGAAAAGTAACCCCAGGGTTGGGAGAAAAGGGGCCGGGGGCAGCTTGGGACAGGGCTGTGTGGTGCCATTCTGTAGTGCATCCCACCCCACGAGACCCCAGTGAGGAGGGGAATGAGAAAAACGCATCCCCCCCCTCCCCCATCCCCTGCCCGGGAACAGGGAGGCTGTGCCCTGCAGGGCCAGGCACGGCGCAGGCTGGGCTGCGGTTGCTGCACCGAAGAGCTGAGAGCCCAGAAAACCTTTTTGCTCATCAAAGTTTAATTTCATAAAGAGCAGGGAGGAAGCCACAAGCTCTCTGCGCCCGGCGGAGCTGGGGGGAAGCGGGCAGGACGCGGCGCTGCCTGTCCCTGCGGTGGGGATGGGGGGTGAAGGAGGGCGATGCCGTGATGCTCGCGATGAGAACTGAGCTGGTGGTGGAGGAGTCATTGCTGCTCAGTCACCTGCAGTGATGGAGCCCATAGGGGTCCTGGTGGTCCCGTGCACAGTGTCCCCGTGTTGCTCCCGGAGGCTGTGGGTGATGCTCCAGATGGCCTTGAAGCGCTGCCCTAGAAACAGCGGTGAACCTGGCAAGGAGGTGTAAAAATGGGTATTTTGGGGGTGTGACTTCACACCACCCCTCCCTGAGGCAGCTGGAGGCAGCGGTGTGGGTCGGTGCCTGTGGTGTGCTGAGGGCTGAGGGGTCTCCCCGAGCTTTGTGGGGTGGAGATGAGGCTGGGATGTGGTGACTCCGGCTCTGGGCAGTCTTGGGATGCTGATAAGGGGTTCTGGCAGCACAGAATTTGAAGACGATACTGGGCTGGGGAGCACAGGGCCCTGGGGACGCAGTGGCTGGGAGCACTGTCTGTCCTCCAGGAGAGCATCCCCAGCGTGAAGCAGACCCATGCTGTGAGATGAAGCAGTGCCAGCATGTCACCATGCACAATGTGCACACAGCACCCATAGGGTGATACCCCCCAGCCCAGAGAAGCTGCCACCAACCGGCCGACACCGAGAGCTTTGTTTGCAAAGTGCAATCCCGGGGCTTAGCAGCGTTCGGTATCAACGATGGTTATTAACTGCAGATTATGTCTTTAAAAGCGCTTTGGTGGAGCAGCAGGCAGCAGCAGGCTGGCGAGGCGCCGGCACTGATTGTCACGATCGTTTGACGTCCTCAGGGTGGGACATGGCAGGTGCCACCTCAACGTGTCCCCCAGCCCGGCCCCCGCTGGAGGGGGCTGAGCTCTAATTTAGGATCGATGCAACAAGTGGGGGGTGGTGGGGGCACCGAGCATCATCATCCCCTCCTGCACGGCTGGAACGGCCCTGGTTGGTCCTTCTTTGGGTGGCCCAAAGGTGGGGACAGGGGATGAGTCGTCCTATGTCCCTGTGCCAGAAGTGTGGTTGGTGCCATCACCGCTCCCGATGTCACCGCCGGGTCCGATCTCTCAAATCCATCCCCTATCCCCCGTACCATCCCCGCTCACGGCATCTCCATGGAAACCCGCAGCCCCGCGCCTGCAATCAGAGGGGGCCACTTTTAGGAATATTATTTTTACTGATGACAAATGATGGAGGTGCTGACGGAGGAACGCCCGCGCCCGGCATCACCTCCCCAGCGGCCGTCCTTTCCCTTCCGGAGCCATCGCATCCCACTGAGGGCTCGGCACGTGCTGGTCTGGTGGCAGATGCAGGACAAGGCAGATAGAATGGGGAATCTTCTTTGTGCAGATTAGGATTGTGGGGCTATTAAGCCGAAAATGCTCCATTTGGTGCAGAAAGCTCCTTTTCCCTTTAATAGCACACCGCCTGGCTGCTGCTCGCCTCCCTGCTGGCAAGGCGAGGGCTTTGGCAAGCGGTGCTTTGCGATGTTCCCGTCGGGTTTGTAGGGCCACGACCTCCTGGCTCCGAGCACACACAGCTGTTTGTGCTGGAATGGATGGCAACGGGTCTTAGCCCCTCGGTGGGCTCCAGTTGATGGCATCCCCTTGGTATCGTGGTGTGGGCACGGTGGATGCTCCACGTGCACCCAAGTCCCAGCGCCGAGGGGTACCTGATGGGCACCTGGATCCCGATTCCCGGTCCCTCAGCCGTTGTTTCCCAGCGAGGAGGAGAGGCAGCAGAGGGTTCGACTGCGAGCTGGCAGAGCTCCGTACAGAGGCAGCCCTGCAAACGGAGGGGAGGTGCCAGTGCGGCTCCGCCAGCCCCGTGCCGCACTTGGGAGCCGCGGATCTCTCCTGCTGCGTTCGTACGGAGGCTCTGCTCGTGCACGCTGCATCCCTGCAACCGGCACCAACCGAGGGGTACAAACCCTTTCACACCCCTCAGTGCTTTTTGGGCTCTTCTGTGGCCCAGATGAGCTCTCACCCATGAAAGAATGCTCGGCACTGCTTGGGGCTGTGCTGGCAGTGGGGGCAGAGCCCTTCTTGACCACAGGGAAGACCCATCCCAAAGGGAAGACCCCCAAAGCCACCCTTCTTCCAGATAAAGGGCAGCCCATAGCGCTGGGTCCACGGTGCTGGACTAAATGCAGCACAGCCTCTGCCCATAGCCCCTCTGCAGGGGTCTGCGGGGTGGTTTTGCTAACAAGAGTGCCCTATTATAATTTCAATGGGATTATAAAAAAAAAAACAAAATAGTCCTCACACAAATGACTCCGCAGTGCCTCTGCCAGGGCCTAAGATCTGCTGCTATCTATTTTTTAATAATTGAGGGTAATAAATATGTATTTCTCTCTCCTTTTTCTCCGTGCTCTGCAGCTTGTCAGCTCCCTGCGTCTCTTCCTCTGATCAGACCGCATCTTTGCTGAGCGGGAAAAAAAAAGAGAAAAAGGAAAAAAAAAAAAAAAAAAAAGGGGGAAAAAAAAAAGAAAAGAAAAGAAAGAAAGAAAGGGGAGGGAGGGAAAAAAAAAAAGAAAGAAAAAGATCCTTTAAGCAAAAAGGATTAAAGCCTTGAAAGTAGGTCTGCCTGAGCTGGCTGCGCTTTCCCTGCTCCCATCCACTGCGTCCAGGGAACGGGAGCGATGGGGCAAAGGGGCTCTGCCCTATGGGTAGGGATGGGGCGACTTGG